GCGCTGTGGGTCAGAATCGACTCCACGGCAGTGGGTGTGGTTTGGGCTTTGCTTCTGTGAAGATTGACAGCCTTGGAGACCCTGTGGGGCAGTTCCACTCTGTCACATGGGGTTGCTATTGGTCTAAATGGACTCAACAGCACTCAGCAATATCGGGCTATCAACAGACCTGCCTTCTTGTCTTTGTCAGATATTGGATCGATATATATTTATGTATTTTAATTTTTACTACCTTCCGACCCATGTTAAACTTTGCTTTCCCATTCTAGGGGTGAGAGGAAGCCCAAAATAGACCTGTTCAGGACCTGTGTGGCAGCTATTCCTCGGCTCCTACCAGACGGGATGTCAAAGCTGGAGCTGATTGACTTGCTGGCGAGGTAGGTGAGGATTGGTGGGTATTATATGATGAATACAGCTTTCAGTTCTTTACCATGTTTCCTAAAACTAGAACAGTTACCAAGAATTGACAGATATTTATTGAATGAGGCATGCGAGACACTATGATTTGTCAGAGAAGAATAAAGAAATATATATTTTTTTCAATTCTTCACATGTTTGAGGCATAAATTCTGTAGAATTATATAAGCTCCTAGATACAAACAGTTAAGGCACTAAAGCTGTAAAAGCAAAGCTGAGAGGTTCAAGTCCATTGAGATGCCTCAGAAGAAAGGTGTGGTGATCTGTTTCCAAACAACCAGCCCTTGAAAATCCTATGGAATATTGTTCTCCTTTGATGCAGTCGGGGTCTCCATGAGTCAGAGCTAACTCAAAAGTGACTCATTTTACGCTGTGTTTAATCAGAGGGTGAAAGCACTAGTGGGGAAAAGACAGTTTTCAGTAGATAAGTGAGGGCAATGTGTGTGTTACTCAATGATGCCCTGATTGGTGAGTAAAGCCTCTGAAGTACTAAGTTTTCAAAATTGTGTGTGGCATTCTGGTAAACTCACAAATGCTATTGTTAGATGCTTGACCCACAGTGCCCCTAGAGGACAGAGTGGAACGGCCCCACAGGGTCTCCAAGGCTGTCAATCTGCACAGAAACAAAGCCCAAACCATACCCACTGCTGTGGAGTTGATTCTGACCCACAGCGCCCCTAGAGGACAGAGTGGAACTGCCCCACAGGGTCTCCAAGGCTGTCAATCTTCACAGAAGCAAAGCCCAAACCACACCCACTGCTGTGGAGTCGATTCTGACTC